GTGGAAATGATGTTTAAGGGTTTGTGTTTGTACTGACTCATTTCTAAAGACCTGGGGGAGGGGAGGGAGAGACCCTCTAACAGTAATATACAAAACAACAAGGTCTTATTCCAAAAGGGAAATTTGGGGAAAAAAGCTTCTTGAAAATAAGAATGATTGTTTTGCCTGGGGTGAAGCATTTGGAATTTTTTTGTGTCTGGTGTAAAAGCAAGAAAGGGTGAAGAAGGGTAGTTTCTTAGTAATTAGAAGGACAATGGAAGGTGTTAAAAGAATGGAAATAATCAGATGGAAGAGAGGGAAAGAGAGAGAGAAACAAAGGAGCTGGGGGTAAGTTTTATGCTTGAAAGGTGAGATCTCTGATCCGCTATTTTGTGTGAAAGAGTTAAGTAAAAAGCTATGTATTTCTTGAGGTTCCTATAGTTTGGAAGGTAACAAGAGAGGAGAAAACCTCTCTCCAAAGGGGGGAGGGAATTGTCCCCCCTAACAGCTTTTGAAAACAGGTTAGAAATGTTTTTAGGACCAATGGAAAGCATGGGAAGGTATTAGGGTACAAATGCAGAAATTAGACAGATGGAAAACTAAAACAATAGAAGGTTTATTAGCGGTAAAAGAGGCTCAGAAAGTATATGCGAAGTGAGAAGAGGAGAGAGATAAACGTAAGATAAGATAAAAATCATGGCTCAATTATTGCAAACAGGCCAACAAAGAGGAAGAGTAATTAGGAAAGGCAGACTGGGGGTGAGGACAGCCAGTTGGCACCAGGGGATATAAATTTCTAGGAGAAAATTTTCCCCAGTCTTTAAATAAACAAATGTGCCTGTTGTAAGGAGGAAGGACACTGGGAAAATGAGTACGGTACCTTAAGAGGAAGGAGGGGGAAGAACTAGCACATTTGGTGAACTTTGAGGATTAAGGGTGTCAGGGGACTAATCTGTTTTCTGGTTCAGCTTTTTAGGAACCCCTGATAAACCTTAAAGGCTGGATCCCTGGAGGAGAAAAAGGGTGTACTTGGTGGATTTTGGACCACCAGATTTACCCTGAACTTTTACCTCCAGGAATGCAAATTGGGAAAGGGAAGATTAAGGATCAGGGAATTATGGACATGTAGTAGAAGCAACAATATTTAATCTGCTATGGTCCAGACAGTAGTAAAAGGACCTGAACTTTGTATTGGTTGAAGGGAGCTGTAATTTGGTTGGAAGGGATTTAATTGGTAAATTGGGGGTTGTTATTATGGGAAATGAAAGGGAAATAATGGTAAACATTATGGCCTTAAGTGAGGAGGCTCAAAGAAAAGTGAACCCCTCAGTTTGGGCCAAGGAGGGGAATAGGGGAAGGGTTCAAATTAAACCCTTAAAAATAACTCTTAAACAACCAGGAGAAGCTGTACATCAGAAACAGTATAACATTACATTGGAAGGAAGAATGGATTTAAAACCTATGGTGGAAGGGCTATTGAAGGGGGGTGAAATTTTTGAGCAATCCTTTTAAAAATGTTTAGTTTGTTACTTTTTTTAACCCAAGAATTTCTGCCTTGGAAAAGTAAGAGATGCAGAAAGAAAAAGAAGAAAGAAGAAGAAGAAAAAAAGGGGGGAGGCAGTTTCTGTCTGCATGTTTGTTTGTGTGTATGTGTGTTTTTAAAGAACAGAAATTGGGTAAAATTTCCTGACTGTAAGGATAATTAATCAGTGGGATAATTGTCTCCAGAAATTGTGGATGCTTCATTATTGGAGGTTTTTGGGAGGAGGTTAGAAATTGATAGGGTCTGAAATGGATAGAGTTTCCTGTTTCAGTAAGGGGTTGGACTAGAGGACCTCTAATGTCCCATCCAACTCTGATATTCTGTTTTTGTATGTGTGGCATGCTTCAGTGATTTTCCTTTGCATTTTAGTTTGGATTTATCCTTAATAATGCATTTGAGGGTATTCTTGTCAAAGGAACAATCTTATGATGTTTTATTTAACATTTGATAAATATGTGTCTTGGGACTCCTTGCTACTGAAGAAAAGATGATTAATTGCTGCATACTGTGTATGTCCAATTTGTTTTTCTTTTCCCTGGAGCCAAGGAGGGGGAGGGAAATCTTTATAGAAAACCAATTTGGTTTCAGGGTTATAGCCACAGGCTGCAAGGCTGGATTTGAGTTCAAATCCTGCTTTAGCCATGAGGGTTGGCTGAGTGTTTTGGGGCTGGTTTATTTTTGTTCAGCCATAGGAAGGAGGTATTGGCAAGCCACTTTTGTAAATGTTATGGCAATTTTCCTCCTGAATTAGGGCTGTTTCAAGCAAAAGTTTTGTATAAATTTTTACTGTCTGGTTTGGTGAGTGGGGGAAGGGGGAGACAATCTTTTGTCTTCTTAGCTATCCTGGCGTTCTTTGATGTGCTGCCACAAGAGTGATTTGAATGTTATTTGCCTGAGACAAAAGGCATTCCAGAAATGTTGGCCCAATGCTAATTGGTGAGCCTATATGCTTTACCTTTTAAAATCCTGAATGTGTTATTTACAATAAGTTCATTGAGTTATATTTTTGTAACATGGTATCTAATCAGGGTGAAAGGGGGAGAAGAAAGAAAAATGTGACAATTTTTGATAGAGCTTCCATGGACAAGTGTAGTCTATCTGATACAGGACAAATGATTTTTTTTCTTTCTTTTCTTTCCTCCATTTTTAAGCTGTGGAAGCAAATACATTTTTATGTAGCTTCCCAATTTTGTAAGATCTTATTCTGGGAATTATAAAGAAATGGGAAAGCAACTTTTTGGCAGAAGAAAGGATTGAGGGTGTTTAGCAAATAAAGCCCAATTGGTATGAAAGGAGGTAAAATATCTAGAAATGTATTTGATAGTTGAATTGGAAAGGAAAATAGATAGTAAAAGGATTAAGGATATATATTTATAATTACCAAACAACAAAAATGGTCTTAAGGGGATTCTGTGGTTATCACAAGGTACTGCAAGAATGGTGATCCAAAAACTATATGAGGGGAAATATTGGGGAATTGAAGTATAGGTAGAAATGTATTTGAAATTCTATGCTACCCTTGGAATTTATGGGATAGCCCAAAGGGCTACAGAGGGATGTTTGATATGTAAAAGGGTTAATAAAGGGTTAAGGCTCCCAAAGGAGGGAGACAAATAGCTAAATGTAGAACAAAGTACTGGGGTCTCTGTCTTCTCTTTGACAGGAAGGCTTGGTGGCGCAAACAACTCCTTTGGAATTTCCAGTCCATAAAATCCAGCCGGGACAGAATGGAAGGAGGAACTTCTACAACCAAAGAAAGGAAGTTCCTTGTTATATCTGCTGTCCGGAGGGCTGAGAAGGGTTGGACTCACTACACATGAGCAAAGGTGGTGACTGGACCTGAAAGAGGGTGGACGGTTATTCCAGGACAAGGACTGAAAGCCACGTTTAAAAGGACTTGAATGGGTAGTGGACCAGAACCCCTACCTATTTTGAATATCTTTATTAGAATTTCAGGTGACCCCAGACGAAGAACAAAGATGTTGGTGGTGACTCATCAGAGAAATAAAAGTTGTTTGTTACAAATAAAATGAATTAAGTCAGAAGTCATATCATTAGAAACTGAAAATGTAGAATTGTACATTGTAAGAATCAGGTAGTAGATGTGTTACCTCTGTAATAGCTAGTGATTATTGTTATTGTTGTAATTGTGGATCAATTTGTGGGTGTGAAATACTGTGTAATAATCATGAAGGGTGGATTCTACTTCTAATGTTACTGAAGACAACACACCAGAACAGCCTGGGAAATAAAGGTAAAAATGTGTTTGTGGGATTTAAAGGTAGATGATAATCATGAAGCAGAATGGACATTGCAAAAGGAATCAGGAATGTGGCCAAAGCTCCTGAACAAAAGTATGAAAATATGTGGGGTAATTGGAGTTGGTTAACAAATTGGCTTCCCAATTTTGGATGGTTAAAACAAATATTTATAGGACTAGTGTTTATAGTTGTGATAGGTATTATGTGTTGTGTTTGTCTCCAATGTATACCCTGCTGTGTTTCATTTTGCACCAAAACATTGGGGTCAGTAGCGAAAAACATCTCTGAAGAAGATGTACAGATTAAATTTATGTTATCTAATATTGAATAAAAATGAAGATTCATCAGAGTATACAGAAATACAGGGGGGATTGATAAATATACATTAATATGATGAATCTTCAGTCAGTTAAAAATACAATACAATGGAAACTAATACAGATGGTGAGAGTCAGGAAGAGATTAAGGAAATAAGATAACCATATAGGCAAAAATAGTTGGGTCTGAGAAAGGAAGAACAGAAGCTATAAAAATATATATAGGAAATGGCTAGCCAGGAAGTATAGGAAAGAAGGAAACCAGGCCAAATAAGATAAGAAGAGAATGATGAATTGAAATGATGAATTGAATTGAAAAGCAGGAAAAGAGCTTATTGTGGAGACAGAAATAAATATATTGAGTTTAAAAATAACCATAAGAAAATAATTTTTCTTATTCTTATTGTATATGTGAATATGATTTAGTATGTTATCAGGAAATGTGTATAGGCGGACGGAAAGAGTGTAACCTCATACTACCTCAGCCAATGGGGAAAGAGGAGGGCTGTAGCGGCCGGTGAGAGGGATGAATAAAAGAAGGAGATATTTTGGATTAAAACTTTGGAGAGAACCAAGCTTTGAGCTTCTCTCCCCGCTTATTGCAATAAATGAAACAAAAGGCCTTCACTGTGTCTTGGCTGGTTATTGGTCAGGCGAGCTTGCCTCTGGTCACGAAGGAAAGTAGCCAGGAGCACATAACAGTGATTTCATGCTATTTTTATAAACATTGAGGAACAGCATCATTCATTTTTCTTTTAACTATTTCAAAACTAAATATTAAATAGAAAATTTTGCCCCTTCCCAAAGCCAGGGAAAGGAAGCATCAGTGGCAAATTAATAGAATGCTGGGCTACCAAAATCATACTTGGTAGTTGGTCATGTTTTTAAGGCCACACTTACCTATTGCAAAAAAAGTCTCTCTGTCAATATTGGCAGCTTCTTTACAATCAAAGAGCAATGAAGCCGCTTCACTTCTAGATAAGAGGCTGGGATCATTCTGAGGAAGTGCAAGGCGCTTCAGCTGATGCGCAAGGGATGTCATTGTTTCACACTCCTGTGGTAAAAAAAAAATCAATCAAAATGTTTCACACATGGACTAAAAGAGAACACCAGCGTGATGAATTATCTACCAAAACAACTTACCTGCAGCTTTATACCAGTTGAGTAGCAATAAAGTCATGGTCATAATTAATTCAATGTTTGGTTACTAACAAGAACCCAATTGTCTGACTCGCAATACCAAACCAGACCAAACATAGACACACCACACCTCAAGCCACCATTAAACGTGTCATCATATAGGGCATATCAAAACGTATCAATCTTAACCCCACTAGATTGTACAGTAGGGTACAACACGCAAACACTCCACCACAATTCAACGAACGAGAACAACGCGCTCTTAGGTTTGCTATCCTGACATAATTCAAAACTCAGTTCAGTCCCTCGTGGAAGTCAGATAAGCTGCAATCCTCATCTTCAGCCACCCGACTGTAATAAGATGGAAGGGCGGCAAGCGGGTTTAGCGGTGTGTGTGTGTGGGGGGGGGGTTATGCCACACTCTCGGCTACCCCCTCCCATCGGAAACCTGGCGCCCACATTTTGCAGGGAGCCCGTGCAGCGCAAGCCTAGACCGATGCAGCTTGCACGCTCTCAGGGACCGCGCAGAAAGATCTACCTGGCGCGGCGTTCAGGCAGAGACGGTGGAGATGGATTCGCTGCCAGTCCAAGCAGCAGTTCCGGAAGGATGAACGCGTGTGAAGCTGGGGAACCACTACAAATGCCAAGGATCAGAGCAGACCTACGATCTACCAAGTGCGCGTCCACGATCAACTGCCGGCATGCAGTTGATCGATTCCCTCCCTCGAGCGGTAAAACCCACTTCAGTTTTTTCCACGTGGGTAGGAGACTTGCCAAACATTTCCCCCTTGACCCGGAAGTATAAGCCGAGCACAAGCATTTCCGCTGTGGTGCGGTAGGAACAGGTAGCGTCCCCGTGATTTCCTTGCTTTGATCGCTGCTCTCGGCTGCCCCCGTGAGGTGTCGCTTTGATTTGCACAGAGCCTACTAGCTGGAGAATTCTGGGTATGGAAGTCCATAGATCTTAAAAGTTGCCAAGGTTGAGAAACGTTTCTGTGTAGAGGGATTCCGAAGCTAACTTAGCTTTCCATTGAAAAAATAATAATACTTTTAAAAACAAAAAAACCCAAATATTTAAAATGTTAGACTTGCTCCCTGGAAGAAAAGGACAGACTTCCTCTTTTAAGGTGTAGCATGCAACTAACAGATTTCATAAATGAACATACAGGTAGTCCTTGACTTATAACAGTTCATTTAATGACCGCTCACTTACATCAGGACTGAAAAAAGTGATTTATGACCATTTTTACACTTACAACTGTTGCAGCATCCCCATGGTCATGTCATCAAAATTCAGATGCTTGTTTAACAGCTGCAGTGATACATTTAACTATGGCAAGCAAGGTCGTAAAATGGGGCAAAATTCACTTAACAAATGTCTCACTTAACAAAATAAATTTTGGGTTCAGTTGTGGTAAGTCAAGGACTACTTTGTATTCAATATCAAAATACTGGCAGCTCTTAGTTTACCTTGCACCTTGTCTCCAGAATGTGATCAAAAAAGTCAACATGGTGGCTGCACGTAAAATCTAGAAACTTTCTGGACCATCATATTGACATTTTTGGCCATGCTTCATCCACACCTCTGTGTTACCTAATCTCAAGGTATGCAGGGATGGATCTGATTAATATGGGGAGCCACCAAGAAACCTGAAGGTAGAGACCGTTAGAGACTAAACTAGGAAGTTTTTTAAAAAAGCAGTTTTGAACATTAGCAAGAGGGAAGTGTAAATGTAGGGTTAATATAGTGTGTGAATTTGGTCTGAGTCTTTTTATTTTATTATTTATTTATTAAACATCTTTTCATCCCCTCCCAATTAAAAAAAAAATCAGTGGCTTGCATTGAATAAATAATGCATGGATTACTTCCAGGGTACAATCTAAAAAACTGGCAGACTGGTACTGTAAGTATTGTATGAACAAAAACAATAAGCAACATTAAAGAATTTATTCCTTGTTTTCACTACTATCATCCCTTTTGAAATCACCTTATAAATCATATTGCATGATATTGATTCTCCAATGGGGACCCAGATAATTGCTGGTTGTATAAAGTTGAACTGACTCCATTATGCTTGTCAGTCCAACCTGCTGCCTGCTCTGCAATTTTTGTAATAACAATTGTCAATTGTTGAAGAGTGTGATGCACCTTTGAAAAGAATCACTAGCAGCCAACAGTTTAAAAGAAAAATAGCTCTCCTTTAGATTGATTCTTTGAAGTGGAACTAAAAATATAGTTTCTCACATTGCTGGCAATGATAATAAGCTGACGTGAAATAGAAACAGAGCTTAGATGCTTAAAATGTATGCATGTCTGAAAGTTCATTGGTAAATTATTCTACATGTAAAATCCTGGCCTCTTTTTTCTTCTGCCTTTTGCATTCCCACTACTGAACCATTTTTAAAACCTTGGATCTGTCTCGCCATTTTTTTCAGCTCTATGCCAGCACTATTTGTAGTTTTCCACCTGTCACTGTGTGTATTATATCCTAAGTCTGTGCAGTGTTCCTGAAATTCTCATGTGTTAAGACATTCAGAGGAAGATGATTCACCAGTCCTTTTCTTTGTGATTTTTTTTAAAATAAGGCTTAAATATGTTTACATGGAAATAACATGTAATTACTGTTTCAAGCAATGTGCTAAGGAATAGATGTGTTGATTTCATAGAAATAGTTCATTTACATATAATTTCAAGCAGAAATCATAATGTATACTTCCAAATACCAAATAGCTAATGTGAATTCATATTTCACATTAGCTAATTAACTGTAATCCAATCAAAAAACTTTTTAGTAGGTCTTTTTTTTTTAAAAAAAACCATATTTCCATTCAAGAATTTCTGTTACTCTAGTCAATCCTTTGCTTAAAACTCTACATAGCCTTCTCTTTTTTTTTGTTATTCTGTGGCATCCTTTTCCTTTTCACTGAAATCTACTAAGAAGGAAAAACTAAAGATTAAAAATTGGAGATTCAGAACACATGAAAGTATTTTCTTTACACAGCATCAAAGTCATGTAGTGCACTCCACAAGAATAAATGATATGAAATTAGAACAATTCATGGAGGACTGGTGTTTTAGTATTAAGATATTGTTTTTATGTTTTATCATAGATAAGAATTTTCTGACTATTAACTGGTACTAATAGGTATTGTAAATGAATGAGTGCTGTTGGTTTTCTGTCCTGCTTGCCTGCTTTCACTTAGGTCTATTTGATACTGTGGGGAGAGGTTCTGAGTAGACTTTTATTCTGACCCAGCATGACTGTCAAATTCCTCCTTTTCTAAGTAATTGTAAACTCTTTTCAAAATAATTGCCTTGGCTTAATTCTCTCAGAGACTGGTAACTTTGCCACTGGTTTAAATTATAGTTCATCTCAAGAAGTACACTGACTTCTACTTTTGTAAACTTCCCATTTAGGCCCTGTGTAGGACATATTTGAGATGATAGGTAATCTTTGTTTAGTGACTGCCTTATTTAGTGACAGTTCACAGTTATGACAGTGATGAAAAAGATAATGGTATGATCAGTCTTCACATTTAGGACCTGCAATATAAAGGAGAGCTGAAGTATGTTCATAAACATGATCACGATTTCACTTAGATGTTGCTTCACTTAGCAATCAAGTTGCCAGTCCCAATTGTGGTCATTGAACAAGGGCTACTTGTATGTGAAGTAGTTAACCATAAATGCTCTGCAAGAGATCAGATTATGCAATCTGCAATAGGTTCCACACATTTGTTTAAGCCCAAAATTGCTGCTACAGATTGTTGGATTGTGCACATCACTGGGGCTTAAGGAGGAAAGTCTGCAGTGGCAGCTATTACCTACTATGTAGGTATTTAAATGCACTATGTATTTCTGCATTTGCCTCTCAGCACAGCAAATAAAGTGATAGTTTATATGTTTGGATCATATATTTGGATTAACTGTGGGAAAAAAAAAAGTAGAGACTTCCGTTGACACTTCTGCGAAGAAGTGGGAAATTTTACTGTTTGATGTTGCTGAAGCACTTAATCAGATTAAGTTAGGAGTTTGTATCTAAAGGGGCCCTCAAGTTTTCATGGGGATGGTGAACTTAAACCACAATTAACTATAGAATTTGTACCATGTGGGAAAAGGAGAAAGAAACTGGCATTGCAAAATGTCTCACCATTTGCAAATAACAGTTTTCTCTTGGCAAATTAACATCATGTAGAAGTTAAGAACTCAGTTTTGGGAGGAACACAGAAATGAAACTATTTTGAATTGTTTTGCAATGTATCACCCATTTTCCTCTATTTCTCTTATGTATGTCCTTGTCCGAAGGTAATTTATGATTACTCTATTGAATTACATTACTGTTTTCTCTGGTAATGTACTATACTGTATGTTCCTGTTCCTTTTTTACTTACCTAGGAGTTGATGCATGCAGTGACTTTCTATTTTGCAGAAGGAGGGTTGAAATAGTTTTTCAAATCAAATTGTTGGTATTTAGGATATTGGATCATCAAACATTTATAGCAGAGATAGACAATTGTAATGGTTCTTCATATGAACTTCAGTTCTCAGCAGCTTGGGAGAATCAAAATGATAGACTAAAGCAAAGATAGGCAGAGAACAAGCAGTGAATGAATGGAGATGAAATCTCTATTAAACCAATAAAAGATAATGGAAACTATAGTTCTGATAATATGATCGAAAGTCTTAGTGTACCCTAATAATCTTGTAGAAACAGTAAATAATGTTCAATTTTTATTTGCTGATTCAGATTAATTCAGCTTTCTTATACAGAGGTAGTGGGGTAAAGTGGTTAAAAGTGTTTGATTAAAACTGGGGATACCAAAGTTCAACTTCACCCTTAGCTATAGAAATTCACTGAATAACTTTGAGCCAATCACTCTCTCTCGGACCTAAGAAGGAAGCAATGGCAACCACTTCTGAAAATCCTTGCCAAGAAAACTACAAGGATCTGTCCAGGCAGTCTCTGAGAATCAGTCATGATTGAATGCAAGAAAAAATGGTTTTGTTATCCATTCTTGGCAAGAATCACAAAACTGCAGTATTATTGGAAAAGGGAATAAAATTGCTCTACAAAATAAGATGGATGCAATTTTGCAAAACCAGAATAAGAGGGCACACTTTATCGTAGAACATTATATATCTATTTTTCTGAAATAGAAAAAGAGACTTGCCTGGAAGTACTTTTCAGGAAGAAAGTAAAGGTGAAAGTCATTTATTATTAGAGTGCATCTGGCTATTTAAACTTATTTTAATCATCTTGTTCTTCATTGCTTTTCCATTTATATGCATGTTTATATGCATGTATTTCTAGTTGCAGAAGAAGAGAATATTTCGGTAAACCTATGATGAGCTACGTTTTGTAACAGGTTTGAAGTGGAGGGTGAGGTGAGTCAGAGCTCCTGAGAGTAAGAAATGCTTTTCTTCTGGGCATCTGTTTCTCTCTGCAAACCTGATGTCTTTCCTCCCCAAATTCAGAGTTCTTCTGAAGGCAGGAGAAACTGCAAAACGGCCAGTCAGGGAGGGGAAGGGGATGGATATATCCCAAGCGATGCAGAGCAGGGTCAGGTGACAAGGCGAGGGGATAAAAAGCAGAAGCTGTGGCCAGCAGCTGCCTTCAGCCAGAACCCGGCTTACAGCCAGCAGCAGCAGCAGTCCAGGGGCAGGAAAGTTGAGTGAGAAAGTGAAGGCTAGCTCCCGCTGTCAGTTTTTCTGTCTCCTCTTCTGTCTTCCCTTCCTGCTACAGAGCCAAGTAAAGGGAAAAAAACCTTCTTTGGGCCTCTTTGCAAGATTA